GTTTTTTATAAACAATTGCGTTTTATAACTATTTATTATAAGAAAACTTATACCTAAGGAAACTCACGCAGTTTGGCGGATCACACGGATGGGTCACCACAGTTCGTTCGCGTAGCGACCAAAAAATAAGCCAGCAAAGTTTTATGGAAACCCGATAAGTTTTTAGTACACTATCATATGACACTTCTCGCGCTCATATATATTCTCTATGTAAAATTTCGTGTAACATTCGTGCATAATAGAAATTCAGTCATACTCGCAAAATATATAATCGTATTTATTGTATTAGCAAGGTAGTATGTCGTACAGGATATATTTGCACGTTCACTTTGCAAACGCGGAAAAATTATTTGATATACTGCGCCAGATTTTTGCTGTGCCGTTGCATGTGACAAGTTTCATGTAAGTAAGTAGTTCACTGCGTCTATAGTCAAATGCCAATATAACAAGAAGAGTAATATATCCGAAATTTTATGGACGTCTGATATAACAAAGATTTGATTAGATGATCTTAAATGGTCAGTGCGAATAATCAAGCATATCATTAATTTTTATTTGCGGAGTTATTTTCAATGATTTCACGATATTTTTGATTGATGATTTTTTGCTTTACTTGTACAAGGCAGATAAAAAGAATCACTAACCAGCGCCTCACTCTATTTTATATGATTTGTACTTTGTAGTGGGTCTAAAGAATCGAATTTGGAATGCACCTTTAAAGAAAACTACACCAACATAATCTCATAATGAAAATAGATCAACGCGCACTATAGAAAAATTTAACACTATCCTTATGTAAAGATTGACAAGGGGTCTAATATACGTATTTCATTGAATATATGCTGAACCTTCGGGAAAAAAATGCATGGTGACTACATGCAAGATCGAGACTTTGATCTACTGGCTGAATCGAAATGATTTTCTTTTTATTTTGGCATTCATCGTTACAAAAATAGTGTTTCCATGAATTATAGTTCTAAAAATAAATATACTGCGAATGCTTAATCATAAGCGTAGCCATTCAGGATCTCATCCTGTGATACATGATAAAGTCTATACGATGATAAAACTTAATCAAAAAAAAATATATTAGCATACACGCTTCTCACGATCCATAACATATGTCTGTAAATTTGGTAAATTAATTATACTAATTGTGCCTTTGCTTTATTGATTGTACGAGAAAAAAAAATACATAATACAGGCTACATGATGGTGCTACTTCAAACTAGCTATTTGAAAATGATATGAGTGAAGCATTATACTGCTTATCCTTTTTCCATAATGCTAATATGAGTCTCGAAATCCTATACGAAAAAATTGTCTATTAGCTTGTTGCTTCCTTGCAAATACATAACACAACTGAAAGTAAACCCATCTTAACTGCATAAATGTCTTGTCTGGAAGTTTCCTCTCCAATATTTTTTTCGCCAGCACCTTTTCTACTGCTTATTCGGAAGCGGTTTACTAATTTACACCCACAGTTCCGATTGATCCGTATAATTAGGGTCAGGTTAGGGGGTTAGGATCAGGCGTTAGGGTTAGAGTTAGGGTATTTATCACAACGTATCACACCCCCCTGTTACTAATTAATCTGGGAACTTAGTATTTTTTATTGGTGAAAATCCTATTTGTCACCCTCTACTTATCACCGACCAATCAGAACTGTGGGTGTAAATTAGTGAACCCATTCAGAAGATATGTATTTGAAAAAAAAATCTTCCATCGCATAGCCCTGATATCTGGTGATCAATTTCATATAATCAGTCTAAGCCACAATCGTGAACTTGAATTTATTGCTTGAAGTGTTATAGGTAAGACAATATTCTAACTTATCTTGGAAATACAATTTCGCTAACTCAGAATCATAAGGGAATTGATTCCCATTTTTGCAATACTATGAGCCATGTAATCCATAATTCCTATATTTTCTATCACAAATAAGGCATGTGAACTCCACGGCTAAAGTGATGTAAAATCATAATTATCAATTCCTCTAAAACTATTTTCGAATTTTAAATATGAGAAGTGCTCTAAAGTGGATTTGATAATTAATTCTGGATTGGATCTGACTTCAAAAGTTATAGGCCCTTTTTCTTTATATTGCTTAGAAGAAGATAAATAGGATACTTTGTTTTCTGGCTTCAAATTTATAAGAAGGTGATCTTCTGATAATTGCCATGGCTCATACCCAGTTTCTTTTTTATATTTTTTGTATAAGTTAGACCGAATCTTATCTGTCAAAACACTTGGTAGCCCACTTAATTTGGCATGCCAATCCAGATATTCAGAGGTTAATACTTTATTGGACTTTATCATGTTTCCTTTTTTCTATGATTATAGATCAATTTAAATTAGGTAATAGTTGACAAAAATTAGTGCTAAAAAATATCATAATGAAGCGTGAGCAAATAAAATAATGAAACTATACAATTATCTCAATTTCATGCTATTCATATTTAATAAAATAAGATCTAGCTTTATATCTACCTTCTATACTTTCCTTATCATCATGGTCTAACTTGTATAATAGATATAATTTCTCGTTGGTAATTCCATAATAATCAAAATTTTCACTACTAAATTCTCTATATAAATTTGGATATTGATCCAATGTCTTGTTTCGAAAATAGATGTGGTCATAGGTTGACTTATATTGTGATGCAAATAATATATTTGCTGATGTGTTTACTCCCAAAGGATTCACTTATATCTTGGTCTTATTAGTTTTTAAAGTCACGTGTCTGTTTCAATTTGAAACGAAGTCTTCATAACCTATATTATCTATATTAGTAGCTTTTTTGGGGAAATCATTTATAATGTCTTGGATCTGATTATCATATAAATTTGAAATGGCACTTACGCTACAGCTAATTATTTAGATTCTATTTATTCCTATCCCATCAAACAATATATAGATTTTTTTAACTCTGAAAGTTATTTTACGTAAGTTTACATCAGTAATGTCAGAAAAAAAGGGTTTGATTTCGCTGTACACCAATGTTCTTGCTGATTTATCATCAACACCATTTTTAGACTTAACATCCCTGACTCAATCCTCATATGCTTTATAGTAACAATACCAGCATAAAATCTCCTTACGTCTAAGCTTCATTGCTACTCTAAATAGATCAACTATATTCTATGCTGTAACTTTACTATATCCCATCAGAATTGCTTCTAAAGAGAATTTAGAAATCTGAATATCAAATACCTTATTAATCTTACCATCATCAACTTCAGTAGAGGATAGCTCCCGTCTCAAATCTTGCTTTATTTTTTGATTATAAGAAATTTTTTGACACTCTGTCTCTATATTCTCAGAAGCTAAAGTTTGTTTATCTACCATAGACGATTTTATTGATGATGTCCTAGCAGATAATTTGTTACCAGAGGTAATTAACTTACAGGCTGGAATTGATTCTTTGACTACCTGTTCTGAGAGAGTTACAAGTTCAGTGCTAGTCATGGAGAGGTCCTCCTCAAAATGAGTCAAGTCTAAAGTAATAGAGGATAAGTCTTTGGCAATCATCTTATCCTGAACCTTCTTTTCTTGCCTGCTCTCTCTAATTTTATCACTAATGCTTTTCTTATTTACCTTAATCAAAAAAGCATCCATCTTCTTTTTCTCTGATGTCTTGGCATTATCATTATTTCGCTGGTCTATCACAGAGCTGGATAAATTAATATCTGATACAGTTTGCTCTACAAACCTCTTTAATATTGCTTCTTTATATAGCTGATTATCTATTACTAAGGAATCCTGTTCCACTATTGCGAGTCTGGCCTCAAGCTTCATATTTTTTTGCTCTAATTTCTTAACTCTAGCATCATGCTTGGTATTTTCCTCAATAATCTGCTTCAGCTTCGCATTCTCAGCCTCAACCTCTGCAAACTTCCTCCTAAATTTGGAAATCTCAATTAAGAGCTTAGCATTTACTTCTCTTAATAAATCAATAGATTGTGCGTTTAACATGATTGATAATACTTGTTTAGTACACTAAATATTTAAATTAAATAATAAAAGATCACGTATCTATTCCAATTTAAAACACCGATCACTTTTGCCAAGAACATTTTTTATTATTACATACAAAAAATAAATACAAATATTCAGAATGTAGCTCAGGATATACGATGTCTAGGCTAATAATATGCATGCTTATTTTTGAACGATAACTCTCTATTCTAACCCTCTTCTTTTCTGATTCTTTCACTACATATACTCTATCTTTTAACAAACCCACAATTACATCCAAAACCTCTTTTATGCTATTATATAGTGATTTGTAAGAGTTGGAGTTCAGGTCCAAGGCCTTTTTGGTAAATTTGATTGAATACACAATGTCACTTGCCTTGAATATTTTTCTGGGGCTATATAGAAGGAAATGTCAGTCCTGACCTATTGTGATGATAATATAGAGGTAATCAAAATCATCATCGTCTTGCTTTTTCTTCCTCTTGTTCATCTCGCATGCGCTCTTAAGCTGTTTGATATTCTGAGCGATACCTACAGGAACCTTATATTATTTATCTTTTGTGATACAGATAAAGTCTTTAGCCCCCTATCCATATATTTCCATAGTTTGTATTAGTAGTAAATTAACATAATTGCGAGCAGTGTTAGAAAAAAATGTCTAAGAATCTTTTTTTTTGACTAGTTTTATCTGATGAATTTGCAAGAAGTCAAGTGTTCAAGTGATTTTTCCTAATACTGATTACGAGTATAGCTGGAATAATAAAAAAATACCTTGATTGCATGATCGACCTGACCTCAGCTTTCTTTGCTATACTAAGCTCCTTGTTTGTTATATCTATGATAATATGGATAAAAGCGTAAAGTAGTGCTATAACATATTCATTATGTATAGCCTTCAAGCTATTCAGCTGTAAAGTTTCGTAAGAGCACAACCTACTTAAAATTTCTTTTATGCAATATTTGAAGACCTTATTATCATCTTGAATCTCATAAATTTGCGGTTTAAACAAAGGAATAGAATCTATACCATCAGAGTTGAAATCATATTCTACTAACACTTTACTCAAGCTAAAGTACAAGAAGAATGCACGCTTTGACTTTTCCTCTTTTGCGAGAAGTATTGCTGGTCCACCTTTAAATCTATAACTACGTAATTTTCTTCAATCATATTAAGAAAGGAGAGGCCAGTAATTTTTTTGTTGCGGAGTATTCCCAGTCATCATTGTTAAGCTTGAAGTTCTACTCTTTCAAAAAATCAATAAGGGTTTCTGTATTCCAATTTTCAACTAAGCAAGAGTCGTGTTCAGCTATTGAGGTAGACATAGCGCTTTTATATAGTTATTAAGCTCAGACAAAAAAAAATAGTATTACATACTGGAGTAAGATAAAATTTTATTTTTATTTGAAAAAGAAAATACTAGGCGTTAATATAAGTTTTTATATCACACAGACATTATATTATCACACGTGACCTATTTCTCAAGTACTGATAAAATAATAATATTTTATTTACGAAATAAAAAATGTTGTCAGAATCTACAACCTATAGTACATAAAAATTGCGACTATAGCGCTACATGATACAGAAGATTATTCTGACTGAGAGTATATAGTGATATGAAAGTGCTCTGCTTTAGGCTTCTTAGTAGAAGTAAAAATTTCATCAAACATATCATACCTATCCATTTCTTTTTCAATACCACTTCTGGCTTAAATTATACAGAATTTGAAAGAAATTTTATTAAATAGTATCCCAATCTGCTTTGAATTACAGTCTCAAGTTCTCTATAAGTACTAGCTTTATAAATTGTAATCAATTACATTACTTTAATACATAGAATATTTATAAGTTTTCCTATAGAAATGATAAGACAATTGAAAGTAATTTCGATCATTTTGTTTTTCTAAATGCAAGAATCTATAGTGAGAAAATTGCTTGACCTACTCGCATTAAAGAATTTATATAGTACATATCTTATTTTATGTTATTTTCTCTGAGAAATATTTTTGTGAAAAATTAGCTGAATTTTTACATATTCCCATATGCTTTATATCTTACTAAAAAAAAGATAAGGAGATAAGAATAGTGATTAACATTGTCATATGATGCCAAGGGCTCTATGAAAACACATATAAACTAAATTCTCATACCTTTTCACATGTAGATCTACCAGAAAGACATATAGTCTGTTTTACTCCTGACAATTTTGGAATTGTGAGTCCTTCAACCTTTCATAACATATGCTTTTGTCAGCACTATTAACTTATAGGAAAGATCCTATGTCGCAACTAGACATTTTTTCTTCTTCTGGTCACATTTATTTAGAAAAAAAAAAATAAGAATAGAAAGTTAATATAATTTCTTTTCGCTTGATATGTGAGAAATCCTCCTTATCACACAAACCTGTATTTGGATCAATTTATTTATCACACAATTTGTAACTCAGCAAAAAAATCTTCTAAACTGATAATCACCACCACCATTTTGCTTGATCGGCTAGTATTCTATCGAAATAATTCCTTGGCAACCGTCTGTTAGGTTGTCAGTGTATCTGATCTAAAGCATATGCCAAATTCTGATAGAAAATTCTGACATATTGCCCTATTTCAACTCTGTTCAAATTTGAAGCATTAGCTAAAAAGATCGTGCTAAATTCTGATAGGCAGTATCAGCCTGTCTAAGATAATCACTGAATGCAGAAATAAGATCAGAGTTGGTCACATTATTGAAATTCTCAACATAGATATTTGGATTTAGCTGATCTATGGCTTCTTTGCTAATTTTATAACATCCCTCCAGATCAAGATACTTTAAATTAAGACATGAACAAGCAATTTCTCTGATAATCACATCAGTAATTCTACAAAAGCTAAGGACGAGTTCTTAGAGCCTTGGGTAAGAACGAATAATACTAGAAATCGATGTTCCAGTAATCTCTATGTGGTAAGAAATATTTAGATATTCTAATTTATGGTATGCATTTGCTAAAGCAAGTAGGTCTTTATCAGTTATTATTCCAGCATGACTGCTTATATACTTATTCTTTTCTAAATTGAGATACTTCAGATTTGGATATAATTCTGCTATTTGATTTAGCACTTTATCACTATATCTTGTGCTTTTTCCAAAATCCAAATGAATTATATTTGAAAATAAGTACACAATATTATTGATTCTTTTATCAGAAAGTGGATGATAGTATGAAATTTTAAGATAAGTTAGATTCAAGCTATAAACTAGTTGTTTCTTTCCACATACTAATTTTATGAAATTTTTCAATTGAGGGGGATTCTTTGCACAATAATAGCCATTCCTCTTTAGCTTAATGCGTCTCCATAGAATAGGGACACTATATCTATACCATAATTGGGAAATAAATAGAGCAGAGTAGAGAGATTTATCTATCACTAAAAATGTAAAATCTGTTCTAATAGTTCTGATAAATAAAAGATGCTTGATTGCATCATAAATAATATATGCTGTATCTTTAATAAAAAATAGTCATTAAGGCACTTTGTAAAATTACGCATATTGGTGATAGATCTAGCAAAATTTGTTGAAGACGCGTTGCTAGTAACTATACATATTGATAATATCAGATATTTCATCATTTTCTGTAGACTCTGATTCTGGCTCTGAATTGTGCTCATCTTCAGGGTCAGAGTCTTCTAATTCTATATTACTTACAGCATAATTATCGCCTGCATCAAGACAGTCTGATTCTTGCCTCATTGCAATTCTCAAAAGCAATTTAAGATGCTGGAGAGTTGGATTTTTACCATTATGAATTCTGAAAGTGTGTTTACTTTCATAATCTTAATTTTTTAGGTATAGTTCTATAAGGCTCTTACTTTAAGAATTCGTTAAATAGCCAAGTATTTTGTATTTTATTTTCAGTATAGATGGAATCACGTAACTTTTTAGCCTTAATTATATCTCAAATCCAGATGAGTAATTCCCTGACACGTTCTGAATTCTTCTCTATAGAAAGAAAAAGTCAGGACTCAGGATTTTCCTTCTTTTCTTCTCTATTCTTTAAATAGCCTGTGCAGTATCAAGAATAGCCTTCTTTATACCATGCTAGAATATTCAAAGGATCTGGTTCATAATGATTAATTTGAAGAGATCTTACTTCTTCTGGTCTTATACTCAACATCACTATCACATCCGCAAAATCCTCTTTAGTAGAAATTTTGAAAGTATCAATGTTTTAAAGCTTTTTACTCATATTTGCTAAGGAGAAATATATGAGAATTCTGTCTGGATTAGCTATTCGTTTCTTAGTTTATTTCTTCTGAATTTTATTAGAATCTTAAATAAGTTTCTTATCTTTGGCAAATTCTTCAATAATTGCAGGATTTACACTACCTTCTACTAACTTTACACAGAATGTTGACTGACGTAAGATACTGGTAATGATTTCATTTTCATCTTTATTTTTTAGACCTACTGCCCAATAATTAGTAATAATGTCTACAAAATTACCAGCCTTAGCACAATATTCCACTCTTCTCTCAATGATGAGGTTTTTCTTTTTTTTATCCAGCATGAAAGTATCTATCTTCTCTTTACTAAATGAATGTCTATTATTAGTATCGTTAGTAAGGGTAACTTTAACACACTTGCGAGCTATCTAATTAGAAAGCAAAGTATCAAGTTCAGGAGCATGTTTGCTTAATTGTTCTAGAGTTGAGTCAGTTGACAGATTATGCTTTTCTAGGAACTGCTCTAATACTAACACAAAGTTATTAGCTTTAGGTTTTTGGGTCTTTGAGGTAGCCATTTTGGTAGCTATGTCAATGATAAGTAGATTAGTAGAATTTTTTTGATATATATACATTAAGAAAATCAAATCTTTAAAATAAAAAATAATTCACATTTCTTCGGAAAACAAGTATTATATTTTCAAATATTTATCAGATCTATCTATAATAAAAATGAAGGGAAGTTTGACGTATATTAATCTTAATAACTTTTCCAAAAAGAAGTACTATAAATCTTGGTGGAAATACAGCTAATTTAGAGGGCTCTAAAAAGATTACTTCTAATTTACCATCTTGGTTTTGCCAATATATCAAAAAAGATGGGTCTATCTGCAGAAAAAGATACTTGTGTGAGGCTGGATATATCAGACATTATAAGTCACCATCTAAAAAAGGTGTGTATTCTGTAATAAGTTGACATATTCCTAGACTGACTTTTATACAGATCATGCCAAACCTGTTTATAAGAAAAACTGGCTAAAGAAGCACGAAAAAAAAATAAAGATGATATAGCTTATGCTTTAGATTGACATAACACATTTTTGAATATCTATAATAAAGTGAAAATGAAATTTTGAGATTATTAATATCAAAATTACCTAGTATGGATCATCTAACCTGCCAATACAAGAGATAGTTCAATTTGTGAGAAAGGATGCTGGTGTGAATTAGGATGTTCCAGATATTTTAATGCCCTTCCTAGAATAATATGCCCTATTTGTAAGAAGGAACCTATTCTGATATTGGAATCTATAGCACACATGGTGAAATTTATGGCTATGCTTAACGTGAAAGTAAAAAAAATAAAATGGAATCAGATATGGTCAAAACACCTAGCTGAATAATAATCTGGTCAAAGTATTATTTTTCCTATCCTATAGAATCAAAGAGTTTCTGAACATCATTATCTGTTTTCAGTCTGTATAGTAGAAGCTTTGATATGTCTTTATCTTCAAAACTAAGATTATTATATAGTTATCGATTAATTTGATATAAATATTCCTAAACCTGTTTTTCTTTAAGCCCTATTTTTTTCCTATTTTTCTTTACAGTATAGCCATACCAATTTTCAGCAATTGCATTAATTGCCCTTATAGCTGAATTAAGATTCGATGTTACTTTAGCACAGGACTTGAATCTAAAGAATAATAGGGATTGATCTAGGATTTCTATAAACCTCTCGCAGGATTGTGTAAATGTTTCTGATACTATATTACTAGAAAGAATATGCTTATCATCTATGCCAGTAAAGCCTAGTATTTGAAAGAGTTCCCTTATAACTTTTCAATAGTTAGCTGAATATTATTTATGCAAGTCCTCCGCTACTGATTTCTCAGAATTATATCTAACTTTATAATGGGTATCTTCCCATTATGCAATATAATATTTTAATAAAACAAAATAAAAAACCGACTTTTTTTTGCTTTACTAATTGTTTCGTCTAATGTGTTTAAGATTAAAATCCTAATTTTATTTAATACATTAATTTTAATTACTTTTTATATAATATTATAATACCTCTCGTATTTTTCGCATTTAATATATGATTAGAAATTAATGACTTAGATAATTAATTAATTATAAAGCTATATACTCTGTCATAAAAAATCAACAATCTATGCAATCTATATAATAATAAAATTAACAAACCTTTTACATTATTTTATCTTTAATTATAGTTAAACTAAAATTTTCTTAAAAATTTTACACTTTTACTAAATAGTAAATAATAACTTCACTTTATTAAACATGTAACATTCTGACTTTTTAGTAAAGTTTAAGATACCAATAATATTAAATATGATGTATTAAACTAATTTTTTCAGTTTAGAAGTAACTAAAGAAGTAGTATTTGTTAGTTTTATTGAAATTATGATTCTTTTGCATTATGTTATAGATTTTATATTATTAATAAAAACTATAGATATAACTTTATCATTTCTGCCATTTAAATTGTATCCAATCGACTTATTCATAAATACAGAAGTTATAGATAAATCCATCTTTGTTTTTTTTCCAAAGAAATAAAATTTAATATTAAATAAATAATTTCATTGCATATTGAAATGGCTTCTTTTATTTGATATTTATATATAAAAAAGATAATCAGCTGATTATCAAAATACTTTAGTTAATAATTATCAAATTATACACTACTTGTATAATATCCCCTAACAACAGTATCTTCCATTTATAATACGCCTTATTATATACAATACCTTCAGAGGTATTATTTATGGTTAACCTGGGTTTAGTGATATATACTCAGGGTACTTTATAGAGTGGTATATGGTAGTTTTTTATTTTAAAACAGAAAAAAAATTATATGATTAGATAATTAATTAAAGAAAGTAGAGGTTAAGTATTATATATATATTATAAGAGTCAAATAATATAAATATTAGGTGAATCCAAAATGATGAATCTTTATAATAAAATTTAAAGATTTTAAAACATTAGGTCTTTGTATTTATGAAAAAGTTTAACTATTCTAAGCAATAATATATTAAAATTTTATAAAACCTTCTATTATAAACTAATGAATTATTAAAATAATTTTATCAATTTATCATCCATCTTAGAATAGAAAAGGTTTTTGAATTATTTAATATTCTTAATATGAATGAAACATTTATTTGATTTAATATGGTAAAGAACTTTCCTATTAATTATATAGGTAAAAAAACAATTTATAAATATGAAACTTAAAATAAAAAAATAAATTTATTATTATTTTAATATATACTGTAAATAAGAATTATTTTTATTATTTCTTTATAATAAATTAAATACATTTATATCTTTTATGTAATAACTTTTATGTTTATTAGAAATTTTTGTTTTTTTTTTATCTTAGATGAGATAAAATATCTATTAATATATATTTTTAAAGGAAAATAATTATTACATTATAAATGTAATCTAATTCTATCTGATGTAATAGTTTAATTTAGCAAAATAGATGGATAGATTTTAATTTGATGCTAAAATATGTTGATTATGTCAATGAATCAAAAATTAATAGTAGATCTAAAACTTTTATAATGATAGTATATGATTATTTTAGAAAATATTTGAAAGAATCAGTTAAAAAAATTTTATGATAATGATATTAATTTAACAGTAATTTTAAAAGATTTAACAAGTATATATCAATCCTAGATATTGTAATCAATAAATATTTAAGAATAATCTTTATAAGAGTAGTATCTCTGAATAGCTAATAGAATACTAAAACATTACTGCTAGAAATCTATAACATATTAGATTAAGTGATATTTGTAAATAGACTAGAAAACGGAAACCATTATGAGTTTGAAATAAAAACTTTTATACCATCATATTAAATTTTACTAATTATTTTTATAAAATTACAAATTAAAAATCATTAATAAAAAGATATAAAATAATTAATGTTTTTAATTCTCTAATTTTTTCTATTTTTTTTTTTTTTTTTTAAAAAAAATTTTCTTTTTCTACATTTAGCATTACTGTATTAAAGATGTAATACGTAATATTTACAGATGAGTATATCTTTTATTTATCATTTTTTATTTTTTTTTATTATCAATGTAAATACAAATTAATTAACGTAACACATATAAACAAACAGACTTTGTCACGTGATCTTATATGTTATCAAAGTTTATAAATATATATAGTCCTCTGCTTCACTCCAGACTAATAAAATACTCATGAGATAATATTTTATATAAAGTTATTATTCAGTTCTTTAAAACATTCAAAATATTAAATCTTTTAAATCTTTAAAAAATAAATTTGAGATGAAATCTGATAATAAAGATTTTGAAAAAGATTTTAATAAAAGAATATATATGTATGATCTATAAACTAAATAATTTTAAAATATACATTTTTCTTGATAAATAATTTATATTAATTATTTTTTATTATATTTTATAGTCATAAAGCAATTACTTTAAAAGATAATTATCTTTTTAAAATTGAACTAAATTTCTTTATATATGATAATAATAAATTTAATTTGAATGAGATAATTTAAATAATAATTAGTAATTTAAAATTACCTTTTATTATATTTTCAAATTAATAAAGAACATTTTTTTATTAAATTTTATAAATACAAATGATTATATCAGAAGGATACTTATTTTTAGTTATTATATATATTGTGATAATACTTATTTTTAAGATGCTTAATTTTGAAATAATATAATATTTAATAAGAGGTAAATTTATTTGTCAATATTTTTTTAATAAAGAAAATATGTAGACGTATTTTTAATTGGCAAGGAAAATATAAAATCTATTAAAAAAGATATTAGTAAAATTTTTGTAAACAGTGTAAAAACCTACTATATTAATATATAGAATATATAATTTATATGTAGATAAGTATCATTTAAAAATATATTATTATCAAAAGAAATTAGATATTATAGAAAAATCTGCATTCTAAAAAAAATTTACTTTAGAAAAATTTTTGACTTTTAAAGGTAAAAGCAAAATAGAAAATTAATATTTTTAAACTATTAAAACACTTTTTCAGATGATCTGATTTAAAAGGCCTAGCAAACCTAAAAAAAATCAAACCTTTTTTTACTTTTTTTTTATAGATATATTAGTATATATAAAGTTACTAGACAAAACTTGAAGATTTGCAAGTCATCTAAATGAAAAAATGTAAAATTTAGTAAAATTATATTAAAATCTTATTAAAAAATCAGCAAAATTCTAAAAAAGATTAAACTATATCAAAGCTTATAAAAATGTGAAAATATATTAAAATCTTAATAAAAAATTAGTGAAACTATAGTTTAGGCATTTTACCAAATCCAAAATGAGTTTAAACAAGCAACTTTAATTATACATATAGTATATATACTGTATAATCATAGAAAAATTTGATTTTTGAAAGACAACTAAACTGACGCAAAAAGGCAATCTTATGTCACACCCTTAATATCTCATTAAGTAATCAAACTGATGCAAAAAGGTAACTTTTATACTATATCTTAATACCTTACCTAATAATCAGATTAGTAAATAAGGGTAACTCACACATTATATTTCAATATCACACCTGACAACTAAGCTGACATAAAAAGTTAGTACCTCATCATGAAACTTAACATCTTAATAAGAACAGAAAGCTAATATCTCACTAAAGAACTTAATAATCAAATAACTTAGAAACAAGAAGGAAAGAGTAATAGTTAGACTAAAGAGTTGATGGTAATTAGATTATAAGATGATATTCATAACTAGATAACTGTTTACTCACAAAAAACAGAAAAGGTTTAAATAAATAATCAAAATATAAAGAGATAACCAATAAAAAGAAAAGGTAGGATAAAGGGTGACATTCAGACTATATCTATTAGATTATAGAGTGGTAGTCAGATTATAGATATTAGATTATAATGTAACAACTAGATTATAATGTAGTTAGATTATATTATCCCTCATAACCTGATCTAAGTCGCCAATAACTCTTTGATATAATTATATCAAAGAGTTACTAGCGACTAAAGACAATAATAGCATTTATTTGCCATTTTATTTTCAAAACACTGGATTTTTTTAAAATCGGTTGTATTAATTAACCAATAAAAATTTAAACACGTGATTATCTGAAGATTACAACTTTTTGCAGTTTTAACTTAAAATAATAACTGGCAGTTTTTGAACAGATAAAATCTTTAGCAAACTGCCAAAAATAACTACAATAGGTACTAATAAATTTACTAGTACTTATTAGAATTTTATTGGCATTTGGCCGCGGCAAAAGAATTTTTTTGGCCATTTTGACCGCTAAAGACCAACATTGGGATTAGGTTAAAGATCATCAATTTTTTTTTAAAATCCCAAATTTATTAGATAGATCAGTAATTTATTGAAATTCCGTCTTTGAAATGGATAATTTATTATTAGGCCAAGTAAAAAAAAAATTCCTAAATCTTGTAAACCAAAAAAAATTTCGCTAAAGTTGACACGGGGGATTCGTTTTTCTTAGTCATTTGAATCTCCGTATTTAATATTATTAATTAACGAAGTCATCATATGGGAAATCAGGTTCTGACTAAAAATTAAGCATTTTAATCTAATAACATCAAAACTAAAATGCAAAAAAAAAAAAATTCTCAAAACCTGATTTTCCAAGACCAAATTTGGGCCCGTATTACAAAGAATTTCCTTTTTTTGTTTATGCGGGATGATCCGAACGTGCATCACCTTTTTAAATTAAAAATCACCTTTTCCCTCCTCTTTCTCTCCTTTATCCTTCTTTCTTACTTCTTTACGACATTCTATATATGATAATTATTATAAGGCAATTGAATAAAAACTTGTAAATATTTTTTGAAATATAAAATAAGTTGGTATTAACATTTTTGGTCTTAAATGAGTTCTATTAAGTTTATTTTATGTTTTATTATTAGGTACAAATTACTTTCGGATACAAATATCTAATAATGATTAAATCAGTTCTCATCTTTAATAATCATGGCAAACCTCGATGTACCAAATTCTATCAACAAATAGTAAGAAAATTCATTCAATTTCAATTTTTTTCTTTATAACTCAAAGCTAGAAGATAATCTTTCTTTTCTTTTCTCTTCTTTTTTTTTTGAAACAAATTTTTTAACATTACTTTTTGAATATTATTTAGGATACTGGTACGCAACAAGCATTGATTCAAGAAATATTTTCATTGGTGTCAAAGAGACCTGATACAGTATGCAATTTTCTTGAAGGAAGTCAGATGCTTGGAGGGAAAGATACAAGAATTATTTATAGACATTATGCTACTTTATATTTTGTTTTTGTTGTTGATGAATGTGAAAGCGAATTGGGGATTTTAGATCTAATTCAGGTTGGTGAGGGGAGGAGGAATTGGAAGGTGATGTTATGTGAGGAATGTAAATCTTTGAAATTTTTTTTTTTTTTGTAGGTGTTTGTTGAATGTTTGGACAGGTGCTTTGAGAATGTTTGTGAACTTGATTTGGTAAGCGGGATCATTCCAATTTCGTAAGCTCTTTAGAATATTTTCAATCTAATATGTGAATTTAACCATTTCAACAGATATTCCATTTTGAAGATGTTCATAATATTCTTGATGAAGTTATTTCAGGAGGAATGGTAAGGGATAGGAGTTATTTGAAAGTTATCCAAACTATAACCATCATCTTACCAAAAAAAAAAAAAAATACTTATTAGGTTTTAGAGACCAATATTTCACAGATTGTTAGTGCATTTAATGAAACAAATAAATTTAAAAGACGTTCAGGAGCAATGGCTACGATCGCAGGAAGTGGTGCAGGAGCTGTTGCAAGAGATTTGGGAGCAAACTTTGCAAATACGGTTACAACTACTTTACAATCCACTCTACAAAATACAGTGAGTGCCACTTTCCCTAATTTCCGAAGGACAACAGGTTTTTAATTCTTAGTTAGACAAGAGTATGTTAATCTATATAAGTGATAAGTTTAAGAGTTGATGTATTAAATGATGGAGTACAGTAGAATTATAGATGCTTTCTGCTTTGGTATTAATTCAATGGGGTTTTGTTTTCTTTCTTTTTTCCCTCACACAGAAAGTGCACAAATTGCAAAATTGGTGAAACAGAAAGTAGGCAAACCAGGTTTTGTCTCGTTTTTTTTTTTTAATTCAACTTTGTTTATCGTACGATTTAATTTGTGAAATTGTTTTTTGTTGTTTGAAAATATTAGAATGAATATCTATTTAATATTTGTTATTTATTTGTAATAAATTTGTTCGTTTATGAATTGTATAATTATTTCCTTCATTGTCCCATTTCAAAGTTTATAATTATCTATCCAACTTCTTTTAAAAAGAAATAAAAATTTTCCAGGTAGTCATAAATTATACTTTTTCTAATGGAAACTTATTTTGTCCCAAGTGATGTCCGGAGAATGATAGAGAATTATCTATAGAAACTCTTTTTTTTCTTTCTTATTTCTTTTTTTTGTTTGTTTCTATCATTTTTTTTTAAGTATTTTAAGTATTTTTTTTTTTTCTTTTTTGTGTTTTTTTTGTTATTTTGGAATTTTTTTTTCTTAAACAATTTTTTTAAAAAAGAAATCCGTTTTTTCCTTCAAAAATTGATTTTTTTTAAAAAAAAAAAAAATAATAAAATATTCAATAAGCATTTCTTGAATAATTGAATTTTTTTTTTTTATTTATTACATTCTAAATTAATCTTGTTTTCAAATTTTCCAAGTCGCTTTTTTACATTTTGTGGGGAAAAATTTTTTTAACACTCACCATGAATTTCCGATAATAAAGAAACTATCATACGCGTGTCATGTTTTTTTCTTTCCATCAATAAAAAAAGTTACCCATCATAAGTAAACGAATTAGGTAAATTAATTCTGAATCTCCGATTTTTCATTCATCCATGCACTGCTGATCTATAAACGCCAAGCCAAGAAGAGATCAGGACTATTTTTAACTTGTTCTTGCTTGTTTCTTTGTCAGGTATCACTTTTTCTCTCTACATACTCCACATTTGAAAGTCTGACAAAAAAAATCAAGAAATCACCAAAAAAACTCATCATAAATCTAGGCAATTTGCCGATTTTTTTCCATTCATGCTTGCTTTGGCATTGCATATACAAATGATCAAATGATGATAATATTAAAATCATTACCATTGTTCTTGTATTCAAGAAAAGTGTTAACCTTAATCAATTTCTTTTATTGGAAATTCATTATTTCATTTGTCATGCAATTTCTAAACTTAAACCTTTTCAAATTCATCATCTCATGCAATCGCCTAGTAATTCCGAAACAAAAACAAAAAAAGAAAATTTTGTCATAATTATATTTTTTCTCCAAAAATAGAAATCGTTGTAATACATCAACATATCTGGCTTCCAAAAATTTCTCACCTTTTTTTTTTTTTCCTTCGTGAAACTCGATTTCAAGAAAAAAGGCACCTTTTTAAAAGAAGTTTTAACCTGCATTGATTTTTTTAATCATCAAGATCCCTTTTTTTTTTTTCAATCAAGTTTAACTCCAAAAAAGATTCATTCACTTATTTGTTGACGCCTATCTTTCGAATAATAAATGATGATCAAAATCCAAATAAAAAATCCATCTTATTTCGTGTTACTTTTGTTTAAAAAGATTTCACAAAAATCAAAAGAATAAAGGAATGTTTAGACATTAGCCCATTTCATTACAGGTTTCCTAAGCGGAAATCTATCTGGTTGGGGGGGGGGGAGGGGAGGATTAGTTCCCTTTTTCAAAATAGGAAATCAGATTATGATTATGATTTTTGTTTCCAAGTATTAGTCGATAATAAAGTAACGCCACATAATTTTGTTTTTGGAAAGTCATATGAATTCTTTCTTTTTCCTACCAAAACCAATTAGGGCATTCTTCAATGTACCTGAAAACCTGAAATAAAACTTGTTGAAAAACAAGTATCTTGCATGTTAAAGTTCAGGAAGCTTGACTTGATAAATGGTAAATAATACCTCAACTCTTTTTCTTCTTCGTGGACCAAAATCTGAAATGATGTTTTATATGCATGAAAGAAAGACAACGAACCAAGGGGGGTTAACTAAGAACGTAACTTTATTTTTTCGTCAGGAAAAAGAAGAAGGGAATGTGAATGGAGTTTATTATTTATAAGATTTCAGAGAGGAAACATCTATCATTCTGAGAATGTTTCTCAAAGAAAGAAACATATGAAACATTTGATATAATAACTAGGACATTTTAGATTCTATTGTTAACAATGGGAAAAAAAAACATTTCAAACACAATCGTAAGACGATTGTATTCACTTGACAACGTTATCACATGATTAAAGTTTCAAAAAAGTGGGAAGATGACTATTTATTGTTTGTTTGGGTGATACTGTGTCTTATCTAAAGTATATCAATTGGTTCAACTTAATTACAGAACAGCCTGATTCTTTGTTGATAAAGTATCTATTATAGGCCAATTTAAACTTTTTTATATTCATTGTTTTTTTTTAAAAAAAAAAAAAAAAATATTTATTTATTTTAATAGGGTGGATGCACACATCTCTGATGTTTGATACTGTACTCCTTGAGTTTCGAAACGATATTGGAACTTTTCTAGTTGATTCCGTTCCTGCATATCGCCTTTTTAACTTTTTTTCATTTTTTTTTTAATATATAAACAGCAAAATTTTTGAAGTTCCCAGAAATAAAGATCACACGTTTTTTTTTTTTTTTTTTTTACACATACATACAATACATTCTCCAATATTTTTAATAAATTTTTAATAAATAAAATTTATTTCATCATATTATTATTCATACACTTTATCTATTATTTTTCTTGCAAAAAAAAAATTTTTCTTTTTTTCTTTTAACGTAAAAAAAACCAAGATGACATTTCATTATTCAAGACCCACCTCGGTATACACTCAAAACTCAACACAATCGTTATCGGCTTCACGACCTCATTCGGCATACGCTCAGTCATCTCATCAACAAACACAGTCGTCGACGGCCTTGCGACCTCATTCAGTGGTTGGATGTGAAGGATTTTCTTCTTTACAGCCACAATCATTTCGAGTAATTCGACGCAGACAACAACGAAAAAATTCTCGAAACAATGTGTTAAACCCAACGCTAGATAATTTCTATAACATATTACGCCGCACCGAAGCCGATTTGAACGTTAAATCTTCCGCAAAGAACTGGTTAAATGAATATGAATCTTATAGACGTCAAGTTATCAACGCCGAGAAATCTTGCGTTGAGAACATTCGACCAGTTTCATGCTACAACGTGTCACCACCACCTCCAAAGAAAATCGAAAATCCACGCTTCTCTATGCAATTCTAGATGGTATGGTTAAATTGGGTGGAACTTTATTTTTGAACATTTTGTCTTCGTTTCCATTTTTTCTTTCAAGAGATTCAAATAACAAAAAAAAAAAAAAAAAAAAAAAACGAAAAAATTTATTAAAAAAAAAAGAAAAAAAAAAAAAAAAACGGGTTAAACCAAAAAATCAAAAACAGAGGATTTTCCTCTAATGCGAGGGTTCCTTTGTATCACATCATATCTTTCTTTCCTTTCTCTTTTTTTTTTCTTCTCTTTTCCTCTTTTGTTTGTGGGCTTAGTACTACATGTGAATAGAAGGTCGGGGGAAAAAACCTTGTAAATTGTTTTCTTTATTCTTTCCTGCATATACTCCTTTATCATTTATCATTTTATATCTACATATATCTTATCCCTTCCTATTTTATCGCCTACCGAAAAATTTAAAAACCTAAAAAACCTCTTAATTTGAAAACGTGTAAAGATACAAAAGTCACATTTATATATATTCTTAAAGCTGTATTTTTACAACTTTTTTTTTTTTTTTCCTCTTTAAAATCTCTTAACATTATATTATGTTTGGAAATTTTTGCTCATTTGTCATTTCGGTATTTTAAAAGGAATCAAAAAAAAATAATTTCATGTATCTATAGTTCTATTATTATAAATACAAGACTTAATAATAATATAAAAGTAATTTTTTTTTAAAAAAAAAAAGTTTGCTGGTCAAATTGTTTTACGTAAGATCGATAAACGAAAAAAAAATTTTGTAAATATGATTTAAAGATAAAAATAAAAATAAAAAAATTTTTTACATAATACTTGCATCCCTTACTTTATTTCTTTGTCCCACTGAATTTTCCCCAAATGTTTACCCCTGCATGTACTCCATAAATTTCTTTGGTAAGTCATTGTACATAACGAGAGAGCGAAGAGATCTTTTACATTGTTTTAAGTTTGGTCACGAGATTTTTCAAACAAATATTTGTTAATGAATCATTATCAACATTTCCAAAAAGTCCTTCCTTTTGAGATAAAACATTTCAAAGCTGTTTTAGAATTTTGAGACAATCCAGATCTTTGAGTTTGGTTGGAACAATCATTTTTTTTGGTTTCGAAAATGTTCTTGTTATAGACAAAGTATTCTTGTAAGGTAAATCCCAACAATGAATTCTTTGCTGGAAAAATTTTTTACCGGTTTTATCCGAATGTTTAATTTAATGTAAAGACCCTTAATCCAAACCGACCCTTAACGCCATTCTTTTAACTATTTAAAGTTCGGATTTTATCCCAACTAACCCAAATCCACTTTTCAATACGGATATAAAAGAGAGATTCAATGTGATTTTTGAACCTGGATGACGTCATACCTCTTTAATTTAGACTTAATAGGATACATTAACCATAAAAACGAAAGTCATAGCTTAAAGGGTTTTTTTTCATGAAATCAAGTGTCAATTAAATTTGTTTCAAAAAGGTGCCAAATGGGATACAAACTGCCTTTTATGAACAGTTATTACAATAACCAAAAATATCAGATAAAAACTGTTTGATACGATTCGTCCAGCTTCTCGTTTCTAGTGAATCCGTAAATGATTTATGAATAAAAAAAGAGAGGAAATATTTTTGAAGAAAAATTATAGTGATAAGTTTCTTGTTCGGAAATAAAATTCGTTCATAAAGATTGATTTGCTTTTTGATAATTTTTTTTTTTTTTTTATAAATCGTTGATATAAACAAAACTTCTCCGACCCAGTCTTCCCAAAAAACAATAAATTCAAAATCATTCTAGAGTGTCAAAAATTCATATGAACTTTTGTGTGACATCACAAACATAATCAGTGTATCATTATTATATATATATATATCAAGTTTTATAGTGAAGAGCTTATATACATGTGCGTTTGTTTTGATATAAATAGTATAAACCCAATCCCTTTGTTTATTTTTTTTTTTCTTGGACTTTGGTTTTCTCGTTTTTTTTTTTGGTTGCACAAAATTATTAGTCCTTTGACTATTCAAACATAACCTTTTTCAGTCGGTCTAAAACTTCTTGCCTGGGCTTAGCTCTCACAAATTTCTCACGTGATTTGTTTTACCCCTTAAAAAAAAAAAAAGCATTACCAACTCAAACTCCTACTAATATGAACAGCGTGCAAATACAAAGAAAGAAATCATTTAAATCCAATCGAGTATTTGATGTTGATCTATTGTTTCAAAATCGTCAAAAGCAAAATATTGAAATTCGACGTCAATTACGTGACGATATAATATTCAAACATCGAAATTTATCATCACTTAATGAAAAATACATTCCGCAGGCGGAGGAGATTCATGAACCAAAATTGATTATCAGAAATTTAAAGATTGAAAATTTTTCAGAGATGGTACAAGGAGTTTATTCAAATAATCTTGAAAGGCAATTGATTTCCATGAGGAAATTTAGGAAGCTATTGGCTGAAGCGCGTGTTCCACCAATACAACAAATCATTGATGCTGGCGTTATACCTAAATTTGTGGAATTCTTACAGTCAAATCATATACATCTTAAGATCGAATCTTCTTGGGCTTTAAAAAATATCTTGGCCGGTAGTATTGATCATATCAAAGTTGTTGTGAATGCTGGCGCTTTGCCAATTTTCGTTCAATTGTTGCAAAATGAGAGTTGCACCGATGAAATCAGAGAACACGTTATTTGGGCCATAGGAAATATTTCCAGTGATGAGATTTTTTGTGATTTGGTTTTTCGTTCGGGAGCTTTGAAGTGTTTATTATACGTATTGAATCAACTTAAAGATGATCATCCTTTGATACTTACTTTGGCAAGGACGATATGTAACCTTTGTCGTGTCAAAATATCTGAAACAGAATGGTGGTCTTGGATGGCTCCCGTACTTGTTGCCTTGTCCCGAATGATACATTTGAACGATGATGATATCCTTTATTTCACTTGTTTGGCATTATCCTACCTATCTGATGGAGAGTTCTATCGTATTCAACGAATACAAGCAATTATTAATACCGGAATGTGTCCGAGGCTCATGGAACTCATGATTCATAAAAATTTTAACGTTCAAATACCCGTCTTAAAATGCGTTAAAAACATCTCGACTGGATCTGACAGTCAGGTTAAAATAATCTTACATTGTGGGGTTTTAAACTTGATAAAAGATTTACTCGTTAGCACGCTACATAGAATGATCCGTAAAGAGGCTTGTTCTATCGTGTCAGCAATTGCTTCGGGATCCGCTCACCGAATTCAAGCCATTCTGGATGCTGGAATGATTCCTTTCCTAATCAACTTGACGAGAAATTCGGATTTTATAACGAAAAAGGAAGCAACGTGGGCGATATGTAGCGCTATAAGGATCAGCTATCATCAACCATATTTAATTCGACAGATCATAAATTCGGGATGTATTCAATCCATGATTGACATGTTGGATTGTAAGGAGACCGAGATTATTTTTGCGATATTGGAAGCAATTCAAACTATTTTAAGGTTTGGGGAATCCGCAAAAACTCCAAATAATCAAGAGAACGAGTACTCATTATTCATCGAAGAGATTGGAGGGAAAGAAAAGATTTATGAATTACAATATCATAAGAAATTTGAAATTTATAATATAGCTTATAATATCATTGATAAATATTTCGGTGAATTTGAAGAGAATACCTTGGAGATTGGATTTAATTTCAGTGGAGACCCTGGTGGATCAACTGATTTTACGCTACATCATAATTCCCCTACAGGATTCCAATTCTTGCATCAACCTATTATTCCCTTTGGTGCATTTCATTTCAAAACCGTTGGTGAATTCGGTTCGCCTGGTCTAATATTACAAAATGATCAAAATGGATTTCGTTTGCCCGTAGAAACTAGTCAAAAGCCTGATGCCTATTACTTCCCTTTTGTTAATCAACCTTCAAATCATTTTAAGAGTTGAATCCTTTTTTTTTAATTTTATTGGAAACCGGAAATTGTTTTCGTAATAAATATTATTTGATTGATTGACCGACTTCTAATAGGAAAAATGGATAGATCTGGGTAATAGAGAAATACTTCAAAAAGAATTTGAGGTATTATATATATATAAATGTAAATATTTAAGATTTTTAAGATTTTTTTTTTTTTAAATAAGAAAAAAAAAAAGCCTTCAGGAGTAATTTTGAACAAAATTAAATTACTGTAAATACGAAATTTTTTTTTTTTATAATTTTTGACGGTTGCATTTTTGTAAAAGATGTGAAATATCCTTCTAACAAATGTTTTAATTTGTAATAAAGGAATGAAATATAATGAACATGTATAATTACTTAAACATTACAACTGTAACAATTATAAAATAATTTAAAGAAGATTTTTTTTTTTACTTTAAATAATATATCAAGGTAGTATTAATATTTTGAAATAATTTAATACTTAATTTTTTTCAGATTTTTAATAACTATTCTTGTATCAAAACTTTATTTATATTCAAATAAAAGTATTAGATATAGTATTATACTGAAAAATCTTAAAAAACGAATAATATAACATATAATTAATCAAGTTATACACAAAATATTAAATACACAAAACTTTAATAAATTATGATTATATGGTTTTATAAAACTTGAATTATGCATTTATAATTATTTTCATGATATTGAAAAGTGATTATCACAGGATATTAAAAATGAAATGATATTGATTGAAATATTTGAATCAGCATATTTGAAAAACAATAGTAAAATTATTATTCAGGATTTATAATAATATCCCAATACTCAGAATCCTGATAGTCTAGAATCCTAACTTCAAATTCCTGATATACTCAAAATCCTGATAATTCATAATCCCAATGGTCTCCAATTCTAAATGAACATAATCCCAACTGTTAAAATCCTAATATTATATTATTCTGATCAAAATAAAAAATCATGAGGTTAGAAAAAATCAAAACAATTTATATGTATAATATCATTATCATCATATTATTATACTATTTTTAAGTCCATTAATTGATTAAAATAAAAAATTCTTTGTAAAATTTTCTTTTGTTTATTTTATTGTTTTAGTTCAGTTTTTCAAAAAAATTTTACATAAAAATCTCTTATAAAAAAATGAGTGCGATTTATGAACTTGTATCTAGAGTTCTGAATGAGTCGAGTTGAGTCGAGTTTAAAGATCAACTCTATTCAACTCATTTTTTCAAGTTGAGTTGATTCAAATTTATTTTATAAAATCTTTCAACTCAACTTGATTCGAGTTATATAAATTTTAAACTCGACTCAATTTGACTCAACTCGAATTTAACTCGATTCAATTTTGACTTGAATTTATTTGAGTTGAGTTAAGTTCAAATCAAATTTTGAGTCAAATTTAAATTAACTTATAAATATTTAAATATGAAAAAATTTATTTTAAATTAT